AAGGCGCTGAGCAACTCGGTGAAGTATATACGGATACTGGATGCATTTGTCTAGCTTGATGAACCTTGGATGAACCATCCACTGGGCAGAAGAATAACTGGCCGATGTGGTACAGTAAACCCTGAGCGCATAATAAGGCTTCAAAGCATGTCAAAAAGCCGCAAACGCCGAGATTTTACTGCACTCATAACTTTGCCATCGCTTTTTGTCAGTAACAGCTTCACTGGTACGGGTCTTTGCCGCCCAGTGCGGATAGATTTCACGGTAGCACGGAAATTCGGCATCGTTGAAGCGGAAAAGCTGCAAGGCCACGCTAAAGATTTTTTTTTCATGGAAAGCACTAAGGTTTTCCAATACTGTATATTGTAGTATGGTAAAGGGAGGGAACGGCATTTCTTTTAATGATAGCGCATTCCAGGACAACACAAGCGGTGAAGATGCTACTGAAGATCAGAAGGCTATTAACGATATAATTGGTGCCGTCCACGGCTAGGAAAAATCCACGAGAGATGCATTAGACCAGCCGATGACCATCCTATTGCCCAACACTAACCGCGAAACGGATGAGCGCGCATGTAATTAAGAGTTTAAAATTTATTGAGGCGGACAGTGGTTTAATTTAGTCTCTCTCTAAACTCCATCCAAAACGTTTAAGATATGCATATATATATATTAGTTTCTTAAGACAAAAAACATGTATAGTAATAACGGCGCTCCTTGACACGGTCGTATAGTCTTCTTTTCCACGCTAAATTCCACATAAGAGTCAATATATTTGAAGTAGACTCGTAGATTTCTACCACAACCGATCTTTTCAGGTTATTCTTTTGAATTACTGGTATTCAATAGTCCTTGCGTTATCTTCACACCGGCAACAGCGGCACCAGATACCACACCAAGTCCAATAAGAACCACAAGGGCCTTCACCCACTTGGGAAGAGGCTCGTCGTTTTTTTACTGCGTCGAGAATCTTCTGGGAATTCTGGGTACTAAGCTTCGACCTCGACGTATGCGTCATAACGTGAGTGGCATACCAAGCAGGTCCCGCTACAGCCACCCTCTCTTCGTCATCCACCTTCTGTCTTCCCCTGAGATACCGAGCTTCGCTAACAGCTCCATAGCTTTCAACTTCTGAAGTTGGATGGACAGTGGCAGCATTTTCAGCGGCGACGTAGTGCAAACCGTGCGCAACTGCGACAGCAATAAGAACACTGCAGTAGAAGGTCAGATTCATGTTTGGCTTTCAGAGAGCTGTGCGTGCGAAAGTAATATTCTTGAATGGCCGACTGCACGGCTCCAATTCAGTCTGTCCGCCCAGCAGGTAAAAGTGTACAGAACAAGTGTACAGAGCACGTACTTCGAAGTCTAATTCATACTATGATTGCTCAAAGCAACTTCTGATGCGTCTCCGCCGAGAATACGAAACATGCTGTGTACTTCGAAGTTACGCTACGGCAGAAAGGTGGTTATGGAAATGTAAGTTTCTCGCATGTCATTGTAGCCACTTGGAACCAGAAATGATAACTCAGGATGAGGTCGCCAAGAATACATGAACCCTTCAATCCCAAGATACAAACATACAGAAATATTTGAATCCTATACGTCAGTAGCGATTCCACAACAAAATTTACGCCGATGCTTCTCCGTTTCATATTACTTGTCCCCTTCAACTTTTAGCCTGTTTCAAAATGCTTGTCCCTCAATTACACTTATTTTAATTATGGTGTGATGATGTGACGCTATCTAATCCATGCTTAACTGAGACAGTAGAGTCAGAGCGAGGAATGCTCAAAGGAAGTCTTCCCTCACGGCGAAGCTTGTGCAAGCTTGTAGGTGACCTCACCACCTTCCCGTATGCACGACTCCATTGCGCACTGCAGCTCTACGTGGCGGAGGCCAACCTCCTTTATTGCCCCGCGTCGAGGTTTGCCATTATTCGAGCGGGTCAGTATCTCGGAAACGGCCTGCTGGCGCTCTTGTGGTGTCAGTTCTCGTCTTGTGCGCTAGTTAGTCTCAATGGCGGTCAGTGGTTAGTTTTGGAATACTCCAGATATGAGCTAGGATGGGCGACGTCTGTCCCTGTTTTCCACTATTTTGACTCGAAAAGTACTCGAGTTGCCACCACGGATCGAATATTGGTTGGTAGCTGAAGTTCTGCACCATTGAAATCGCACTTGTATTTGGAACGTACAAACCAATTGATGACGCAATCACCTGTATTCTCCATGTCACCGCTGAATGGAAAGAATCCTTACTTCGGGGATTCAGGTGAACGCTTGCGGTACGGTCGATGGCCGGTTCCGTGCACTTTTGAGGGTGTGCCGTAGCAAGTTCCCGCCTACGACAGCCAGATTCTTCCAATCATTGTGTCAATTCAGACTTTGAAAATCTACCCTGCTTTTGGCAAAAATCTAAGTGGGAAGCACCCTTGATTCAAACTCCTTTATGTTTAGTGGTACTAAACTGGTCGGACCGGCTACCGTCTCGAACGTACTCAAGCAGATCAATATCCAAACTAATGCCGTGCTGCGCCCGGGAAGCTCTGGATATTTGGATACTCAATATTTAATATTATAATATTTGTCAATAGGAAGAAACTGAAGCACGAATAAGGATGGCCTCCCACTTCGCCAGCGACACTGTGACTTTTTACTTTTCTTAGTTAAGAATTTGATGTTTGCCGTCTCTAAATCAATTTCAAACGCATTCCAGTGTCCATTTCGTATTGAGTACATGTGCTGCATCGAGATGCATGTATATCTGAAGCTGGACGCATGACATTTGTGTGATAATATTTGCTACCTGCTCCGTCGTTCTAGTCCAGGGGGTAGTACGGCATTAGTGATTTGGTATAGTTTCAATATGCGTGGCGTCCACCTCAGCGTCTGTATAATTTCGTCTAGTGGTACGAAACACCAGCGCACACATCGGTAGAATCTCGTTACGTCCTCGTGTCGACCAGCGTAAGGTCGCAGTGTCAACTGTGGTGGTCAACATCCAGGTCGATTATCATCTTGTTCAAACACCGTAATAGCGTTCGTTCGCCCTCTGGAACCCGCAGACGATCACTGCAGAGCACCGATACCAGCGTCTCTACTGGCAGTTGCTTCATCTCCGATACAGTTAAAGTATCATTGGCATCCCCGCTGAAGCAGTAGAATAGAGTCGTTTGCAGCAACTGATGATACAAACTACAGACAGGATCGCTCCAACAAGTTGCCACTAGCTGTGCATATGGTTGAATATGATCATTTTTCCGACATTACTAGAAGCTTGTATAAAGTGTAGCAGCCAATAGAATTAAACTTGCCAATTTTAAACCAATCATTCGACGTTATCAATGAAATTTTGTCCAATAGTATAGCCAGGAAAATGGCATGTCATGTAC